TTTCTGCCTATTAATAAATTCCATGGTTACGGTATTAGTTGATTTTAATCTATAGCTTGTGCTCTCAAGATAAGGAGGAAATTGTAAGATAGTCTTTAGACCTACAGTTTTTCTTGCTTATGTACAAGATTTTCTGGCATTTACCTGGATTAATCAAATTTTTTTTCTTAATTTATATTTCCTTGTACTAGAATTTACAAATTGTACTTATATTATATATGTACTTATATTATAAGTGTGAGATATAAAATATATATCTCACAGCTTGCTCTATGACTTAGTTAAAACACTTAACTTAGTTAAAATTATTATAAATGTTTTGGATCATGGATCATTTTTTCCTTATGATTAGTGTGTGAAGTATCATCCTTTGAGTCATCAGAAAAGATATTGCTAAATAATTGACTCCATTGAAGTTGATGTTAGTAAAACTATGCAGCCCTTTGGAGTCAGTGATATTTGGCCAAGAGTTAATGAAGGAGAAGCAAGAGTGTTCTTCCGATGAAAATTGCCATGGTATGACTCTTTTTTTCTATTAATATGTAGCAATCCAGCATATTAGGTCAAATTTAAAGATTGAGATTTATTATTTTAAGATTTCTTTTTAATGTTCTTAAAATCGTTCCAAAATAATGTTTCAATCATGTTTTCCTATATTTTCTACTAGTCTTTTTTATATAGAAATTTATTATTATTTTTTTGACAATGCAGTTTATTAAAAATGCGCCGGGTGGCTAAGCGGTAGCGCTTCGCGCTGTCGTGCCACAGGTTCCTGGTTCGACCCTCGGGCCAGGCAAGGTTGACTCAGCCTTTCATCCCTTCAGTGGGTCGATAAATGAGTACTAAGCATGATTGGAAACTAAACACTGGGGGTTCCGCGTTCGGCTGACCACCAGACCGGAGCATCTGCTCCTGCACCCCAGAGCCCAAGGTCAAGAAAGCTGAGATGGGCACAGTAGGCCTTGGCCCTCATGGGTTGTCGCGCCGCTGAGTTTAGTTTAGTTTATTAAAAGTTGAGATAATAGATTACAGATTAAAAAATATAGTAAACAGATTTTTTTCTAAAATTAACTATTTGAACAGAGGTGGAGTTTACAAGAAAATTGCATTAAAGGACAAAAAAGCATAATTTTTATTTGAAAAGTATTAAGGGAAAAACAGTTTTAATGCAGTTCTTTCGAAGTTGAACGTTCAATTAATTAAAATCAATAGCTTTCCAAATGAATTTATGATTAACTTTTATTTTACGTTTGACAGGGCTGATTGTGCTCCGGATTTCCGGAATTTTTGCTTTTTGAGTATTTTTGCTTTAAATTTTGTTCCGGAATTTATGTGCCTTCTAGTCTGTCTATATTTATACTGTTGAGAATAATCACCCTTACTCCCTGGTTTATTTTGTATTACTATTTATATGGCATCAATGATTGTACGTATTTCAGTTGCGTAGTTTGGCAACGCTTGCTTTAGCATTGATAGTAAACACAAATGTGTAAGGGCGCTGTCATGTGCGTGATTCAGTTATTTCTATCTTAATTAAACTTAATTCGCTAATTACTGGCCTCTGATGTTGTTTCTTTATCTTAACATATACAGCTTGATTTGAATTTGTGGTTCTTTCTAATAATATATTTGACAAAGTTAGAAATTTTAACAATAAAACTGACCAAGCTTGCCATTAAAAGATTAATATAGGGAATAAATAGGCCCTAATAAATGCAGGAATCACGAGAAATATTCTCAGAAAGCTTCAAAGTGTTCGGTCCTCTTTCTATATAAAGGGTAAAATTGAGAGCAACAATTTAAAAATTTTCATTAAAATTACATAATTTAAAAAAAGTTTTTTGTTGTTGTTGGCGTAGGCCATTAAGACAAGAGGTGCGATTGTTCTTGTTTTCCAGGGTCGCCAGAATATTGAGATTACAAATTGGCGCCCTTGTGCACTCCCAACTCCGTCTAGAAATGTTTTCCTTGTTTTAGTGGTGCATTTCTTTTAAACAAATTATCTAACCAATTTGGAAAATAAAAGGGTAATATTTAAGGAATAAATAGGCTCTCATATATGTGCAGAGATTGTAAAGAATCTTCAGAAAATTTTATACTGACCGATCTTTTTTTATATAAAGGGGAATATTAAGAGCAACAATTGAAACTATTTTATTAAGACTACCATACTTTGAAAAAATTTTCTAGTATATTATCATTAATTTATAATGTAATATTAATTTATAATTCATTGTTATTAAATTATAATTATTAATTTATAATTATAATTAAGTCCCGCAGTGGACTGATCGTTAAGACACGGTTCCCAGCAGATCACCGAGGTAAAGCATCACTGGCTGTGGTCAGTGTGCGGGGGGTGGGTGACCACTTGGATTAGCCTACGTAGGGACCGAGGGTGTGCGGTATTGGTCCTCGTTAAACTGTTCTACCGTAAAGTGCTCGACTTCGCGCAGGTCGTCGGGCTACCGAAGCGGGGGTGCCATCCCCTCTGCAGAGGATCAAAATTGTGATGGCATGTCTTCGGATCATCCTCAGGGATGTTTCCCAGACCGTCGCCAACAGCCCATTGTGCAGCTCTAGTGCGACGTAAATGAACAACAACAACAATAATTAAATTTGCTAAAACAGAATGTCCCGCGGAAACCGAACACGGGCAGCTGGAATTAGCATTCTTGTTATTCAAACCAAGGGAGGACTGCGGTAATTTAGTTGTTTGACTAAGTCATTTCCGCGGATTTGTAAAGAGAATACAAGTAGGTCCCCTTGTGAACCCTTTAATTCGTCTATAAATGTGTCGCATGTTGTAGTGGTGAGGTTGTTTTTAACAAAATATCTGACGAAGTTGGAAAATTATAGGTTTGCATTCAGAAAATAAATAGGCCTTCATATATATTCAGGGAACACAAGAAATCATCGGTAATGTTTTTAAGAATTCGGTCTCTTTTCTTACAAAGGCAAAGTTAAAAAAATTTCATTGAAAACACTTTTTACTTTTTTTATTTTTAAAAAGGTTTCGAATAGAATAGAGTAATTCCATAATAAAAAAGCCATAATTATATCAATTTAGGTTTTCACATACACCGAAAAAAAAAAGAAATAATCTACGATTTAATTGTGTGGTTTTAGATAATAATAATTTCAAAATGAAAAGCAATTTTTTAATATTTTTAATTCTCTTTGTTTCATTCATAAAAAAATTAATGTAACATTTCAGATTGTTTTTTATCTTATTTTTTATGTTTAAAATATTAGACGAGATAAAAGAAATTGTTTTTTATTTTTTAATGAAATTATAAAAATATACATAAACTATAAAATTATATATATTCAATCGCTATTAATAGAAACTAACCATAAAACTAATTTTTTTCCTTTTAAAAATGGTGGTTAATTTAATGATGGGGCTAAGGACTGCAGCGTAGTAAGATCCACTCCTTAAGTTTTATATTTCCGCAGTTGAACAGCCGACCTAATTTTGGGTTTACAGCTACTTATGTTCAACGCCGTAGCCTTGTAATTTTGAACCAATCCAGATGGCAAGGGAACTCCTGGATCAGTACCCTCAGAGGTTTCGATTTGTTATGGGACCACGGAGGACTTTGCAACTCGACAGATTTAAAGCGCATTAGTCACCACTTACTACATGGGGAGTCTTCGACCGGTGAGCTGCGAACCCACGAAGTCTTGGACATGGGTCGAGGGTCCTACCAACCAGGCTTTCCCGGCCCTACTCCTTAAGTTGAAAAAAAAATGTTCTAGTAATGAAAACAGGTCTGCATTATAAACATAGCAAATCTTTGTTTTACAATATTAACATTAGAAAATTTACGCCAAAATAAAACGCTTTTACGCTACTTACTGCTTTACGCTACTTACTGCAGCTCATAGTGCGAAACTATATTTAATTTTTGAAAAGTAAATAACATAATTTCTGAGCTCAAATCACTGCATTTCATAATTAATGATATAAAGTAATTTTGGCGAGTTTTAAGAGAAAATTTGTTTTAGTTATTTGTAGATGCATATAAGGTTAAAAGGCAACATGGTTGCTATATTTAGAACAAACTCGCTTTTTTTGGCAGTCCTAAGCCTGTTTCTTTTGACTTTTTTAACACTATATGTTCCTATTACAAGTAGTGCACAGTGCATACTTAAGTTTTAGTGTTTAGTTTAAGTAGTGAGACAAAGTTACTTCAAAAAATGTTTTATATTTAAATTTCGAAGTTAATATATTGTTGACAAGGTAATATGTGTTTCATAACCTCTCAAACCACGCGTTTACTATCTTTTCACCATTTATGCTTATAATTTTGTGACTGCATGTACTGTCTTCAACATTTCATGTTTTTTCATTATTTACTAAGTTCACTGTTAACAGATTGAACACGTCGAGTCAGATGGCCTTCAATGACCCCCCGTTAGTAATCTAAAAATATGGGCACTAAGGAACTTGCAGTGCCTCCCAAATCTGAAAAACACCATCCATAAGCACACGTGATTAACATAATAATTTTAAGTTTTACATAATTATTTAAAATTGGTTTGGTGCTTGAAGTTGTTCTAAAAAGTTTTTTTTAAGGATCATTTACACCTAATGAGCTTGTTGTTCCTCAGATCTCCATCGGGGATATATGAGACTCGCCCATCAGGTTTCCTTTCTTCTAGACGGAATTAAAAATGCGGTAACCGTATTCTTTCAGAATTCTTCTTAGATTAAAGTTTAAAAGATAAAATTAAAAAATATAATTTTTCAGCGAACTGAAATTTCTTGCTATATAGTGGTGCAGAATTCTTCTAAATACTTTCCTTTATCGACGCTACAGTTTTAATAAGCTGCCAAGACTTTTAGTTAAAATACAACTTAAAATGGGGTAGTCTGATTTCTTCACTTCCCTTCTGTAAAGTTGCAAGAAGAAGATGAGTTTCGTGATGTTTAATCAGCCAATCATTTGTATGTTTTTTCTCTTGGCTACATTTGATTTTTTATACGCGTGTAAATTTATGCAAGTTTTTTTTTTTAATTTTTGAATTATAAAGCCTTTTCCAATGGTAAATATTTCAAAATGTTATTTCATAATTTATGAAAAAAATTTGAATAAGACAGCGAAGTGACAGTTTAATTATTGTACTTGGTTAAAGTGACCACACGTCCCGATTTTGGCGGGACAGTCCCGCTTTTTGGTGGACTATCCCGCGTCCCGCCGATTTTTAAAAATGTCCCGCTTTTTAGAAAATATCTGCATTTCATGTTTTAAATGTACTGTAAAAATATATTCCTATTATTTATTAAGTATTATGGTGAATATAAAGAAATAAAAAATACATAAAAAACACATAAAATGCGTGCAGAGTAAACTAAATTAGGCAATGTACCAGGTTAGATTTACTCGGTGGTGTGCTATCATTGTCTTTACGTCTCGGCTTAATTCAGACAGTGCGGTTTGTTGTTCTCAATTTGACGTTCGGTTTGACTCATTATTTGATTGACAAAGGTTGAGCAATAGTCGCCACAAAGTAACGGTCAATAAGGTAAAATTTAATACTCTTTTTTAGCCTTTGTAATAATATTTATACAAAATATTGAACTTGTGCAAAATAATCATGAGAAAAGAAGAACTTATCTACACATTACACGCTTACTGGCACACAGATGAAAGTCGCATGAAATTTTTTTTTAAATTTTTTTTTATAATCGTTGATGAACAGCTGACTCAATTTTTAACTCCGTAGCCTTGCAATTTTGAACCCAATACAGAAGATAAGGAAACTCCTAGATCAAGTATTGGAAAAAATTTGCCTTCGTGGAGGATTTTTTGATGGAACTAACCCGTATTCGCGTTACATTGAGATGAAAACCACGAAAACATCCCA